TCTTTCCATCCACCTGATGGGGATTTTAACAGCCCAGGGGCTGCACGTTGGAATCTTGGATTTAAAATGAAGGAGTTTCACGAAGCCGGTCTCATTCCTGGGTCAGTCAGCGCAACAGTTCGCCCCATCACCCTCCTCCTGCCGTGGCTCTGGTGGTTTGTGGGCTGTTTCTGTTGGCCACTAAGTGCCGGCCAAGGGTTCTTTTTTTTTTCCTACCCGAGATGGTTCCCTGTAATGTTGAAAATAACCCAAACTCAGCCCTCTCCCACCTACCTGCAGGCTGCAGTGCTGAAATCCTGCATCCACAGCCGAGTCAGGAAGCGCAGGGAATTCCCTGCAGGCGTTCTGGCCTCTTGCAATGCTAATTTTGTTTCCCTTTTTCTTGAGCAACACCTTAAAGGTGACCCTCAGAGTCTGGGCTGGCTCTGCACCTGGTTTTCCCTGGAGCTCTGCGAGGTGTTTTTAAGTATGTGATACCAAAATGGTTTTTACTCTCCTAATGCTTTGGATACCGCGAGTGAAATCCTTGCTTTGAGATCGGGGTTCGTTCCACCGTGAAAGGGCAAATTACTGGGTGGTTAAAAAATTTACTGGAGATGAAAACCACTTAAAATCATCTTTCCTCTCACGTCTTTCATCCTACGCTCTCCATTCAGCTGAATCTCTCATCTCAGCCCCAACTAAATCGCATCATTTTTCCCCAACGTTGCCTCTTGGTAGATATTTTTTTTTTTGCCTAAATCTCCAGAGGCCGCTTAGGTGACCATCAGCTCCTTTTTTTTTTTGGTTGTGTGCTTCAAATAATGCCACTTCCAGCGGGGTTCAAAGGCTGCCTGATGTATTCACCTGCCTCCTGCAGGCGTTGGCCTTTTTTTCTTAAATCTGGCTATTTTCAGCGCCCGTGTAGGTGCTGTGTGAGCTTTCAAACTGCAGGTGGCGGCGAAGCAGGGCACGGCTAATTCCCCTGAAGTTTGCCAGAGCCCTGAGTAAGGTGGCTAGGATTACCCAGGAGGGCCGTAGCCGAGCTGAAAACTTAAGCCCAGCCTGGTAAGTCCCACGCTGACCGCTCAGGCTGTGACGATCTTTAATTGTTTGTTTTCAGATTATCTGGGATTCTTCGATTAAAGGCCAATAATCCCGCGTGTCGTCGTGCGCTGCACGAGCTGATTCCAGAGGCTGTGATCATTTTAAGTAGAGGATCACTTTTACCACGTGATTGGCTTAATCTGCTGCTTTTTTTTGATACTTTCCCTTCCTTGGGTGGCCTACAAAATTTACAAGGTGGGGTTTTTTTGTTTGTTTGTTCGCTTACAGATACCACAAGGCAGCCAAGACCCGGAGAAGTAAACGGCAAAGGTGAGCGTGTTGCAGTTGGGCCTGTCTCAGCGGGCTTGGCACGCAATTCCTCTGAAAAATTCCAAGTTTTTCTGTGAAGGGCATGTATGAATCCCCGCCGGCAGATAAGTTATCCCTACCTTTACGTTCCCAGGGTGCGCTTCCCGAGGCAGACATTCAGTAGTGATGTATTTGAGGTGTAAATAGGCCCCACGTAGAGAAATATGGTCCTTCATCTCGGTGGCAGGGAGGCTGTGGCCGTTTATGGCTCTTCTGCAGCACGTGCCGTGCGTTGGGGAGAAGGTAACAGCGGGGTTGGCTTGGCAGAACAACCCCAAAATTTAGTCAGGTGTTAAAAACGTCAACAGGGATGGAGCGCACGCTGCCAGGTTCCTTGGCGAGGCGCTCTGAGAGGTTTCAAAGCTTGGTGGAAGCCCCTTGGTCTGCACTTGGGCATTGATTTTTTCCAGAGTGCCAGGTAAGTGCTGGTGAGGTGCCTCGAACCCCCGCTGCTTTGGGAAATGCAGCTGCTGAACGAGGTGTCTTGATCTTCAGAAAGAGCTCGTGTCCAGCTGCTTTTCTGTTCCCCGGTGGGTTTGTGTGGTTCGGAAAGAATCAAGTGAGGTTTGGTCTTCATTTCTGACGGCAGTTTTCGCTCTGAAGTGAAAGGGAGGAATTTCCACAGAAGATAGGAAACATTCCTTTGGAATTTGTTCGATTCTGATCTTCCCTTTTATCTCCCTTTCTCGTCTTTAATACTAAACGCTTTCAAATTCAGGGCCTTGGCAGTCCTGCCGTGATCTGTCCCACACCCCGGAGGGGAGATTCCCAGGAAAGGGCGTGAAAAAGGGGGTCAACAGCAGCATTTCTGGCCACGCAGAAAGCTCCAAAACATTTTGAGCAGGTGTCTGGGCAGCTGGCGTGGAGAGGGGATGCCGCAGATATCTGCAGTCTGCCAGCCCAAAGCGGATTGGAAGATGCTTCTCCCCGAAGCACCCGTAGGTGTCATCTTGACCATGAACTTGACCTTCAAAGCTGTTAATTTCTGGGTCTTTTTCCTCATTTTCCCCATCTAGATTACCACTTTGTGACCAGAGAGGAAATGCAGAAGGAGATCGAAGCGGGTGAATTCATCGAGCACGCGGAGTTCTCCGGAAACATGTATGGGACGAGGTAGGCAGTTGAGGCGCTGAGCCCCCGTGGTGCCGGGAGCTGAAGTGATGGTGAAGGGAAAGAAAAGCTATTTTTAATCTGGAGACACTGTTTTTTTTTTCCCCCAAACACGCAGATTCTTGCCATAAGCAAAGCCTTTCATTGTGACAGCGGGGTCTTTAGCGTTATTAAGATGGCAAAGTGAGCGGTTGCAGGGAGCTGGCTCACCACAATTAAATCATCCCTTGTCTTACGAGAGGCTCTGCACGTGCTTAACGCTTTCCTTGCATTTTCCCGGATTATTTGTGCTCCTTAACGTTTTCCAAGTGCTTGCAGAGGGTAGTGGGCAGAGCGGAGACTCCCTCTCGTTACCCCAGGGCCTAAATAGGATGAATTCGGGAGCAGAAGCGATGATACCCGTGTTGGCTGCTGTGAAACAAATCCATGTGCTGCTTTGGTACAGAGTTTCCAAAGAAATTGCGTGGCCCCCTTGCCTGGATGTTAAAAATTTAACGTTAGGTGGATTTTAAAATAGCATTGCCCTCGGCGTTGGGGCCGATGATCAATAAAACGTTAAGCTGTCATGTTAATTAGAAGTCAGAGATCTTATGTAATTATCGTGAGAAAAGGGTGGCACTGTAGTAAAGGACCTGCTCAGGAGGAAAGTAAAATGTTGCTTGAGATATTTAATGAGTTGCGTTAATTTGCCTGAAATGCTTCTCAGGAAGACTTGCGTTTCTTCAAGAGTTTGGGGTTCGGTTGGGGTTGGGGTTTTTTTTTGAGGATTTGGGTTTTTTTCTTTTTTTTTGGAGACGGCCAAGTTCCCTTCTGAGGATGGTTTCCTCAGGGGAGATGCCAGCCAAAGGCCCCCAGGCCGCACGTGCTGTAGGTGCGGGGCTCTGAAGGAAGGGCTGGGGATTTTTGGCGCGGCCGTTCCCTCGTACGCGGGCGCCGCTGCTGGGCTGATGGAGGAGCCCGGTCCCCTCCCCTGCCCTTGACGCTTCCAGCCTCGCTGGGTTGGCAAGAGAAGCGAAACCCAACAGCTCATCTTCCAAACACCATCCCAGCATCGAGGAGAAACCCAGTTCAGGCTCCTCCATCCCACGTAGGACGGGCCTCCTGCCTTCG